TGCAGTCTCGGCGTTGTTTGCGGGAAGAGGCGGATCTTCTTTCTTCGACCGCCACCCGCTGGCCTGAGGTCGATCAGGGGGGGGGACCTGGCTGGCCGCTTGGTTGGCGGCCGTGATGGAACAGATGCTGATAGTAGTGTCGGCGCTTGAGGAGGGATCTGACTCTCTGTTGGAAGAGGCTATCGATTGGGGGACGGCCAGCGAGCACTGTTATAACTCTTTTTTTAGGTGGGCGGTGACTTTCAGGCACGGCTGGCGGAGGGATTACATGGGCAGGCGGCGGTGTGTGATCACCCGTGGGATGAGACGGCTTGGATGACGGTGGATGTTGATCATCCAGGGGGGAGATGGTGGAGGCTGGCAGCTTCACCTGCCCTCATTTGACATTCCGCTTTCTCCCCGCGGCCTGGCTGTTTCTGTGATGACAATAACGACAACAATAACAACAACAACAACAACAACAACAACCACAATAGAGATGAAGACAACAACGACGGACGCAACAATGATGCTAAGCATGCCGGGCGCAGCAGCAGCTGCTGGGAAAATGAGCGTCGGGGGTGATCCGCTGAGGCCCGGTTCTGTGAATGTGTTTCCTCCTATGACCGGGCGGGCAAAAGCATCGCGACTGTCTGACGTTAAAAACTCCTCCGTGGATGAAACTGCCACTGGCAAAGATTATCGGGCTTATATTGTCGCCGCTGGCCCGCTGTCGGCCCTTCTCGATTGCATGAAGATAGACGCTTGACTTTTCTCTCGTTGACAGGAACAGGGACAAGACAGTGAGTTGGTTTGTGACGTGCATATGTCGAATCGGATTGGCGTGGGGTTGGTGGGAGGAGAGGGCGATGGAAGCTACGCGACTGACGAGGGCGAACCTCTGTGGACGAGGCGGCAGCCCACCTGGGATGCATGTGTTCCGCCTCATTCTGGGTCTACCTCGCTCCTAAGGTTTGCAGGCGAGAACTGGGGGATGGGCGTCTTGAATGATCAGAAATTCCGTGGACTATGGTCTGACGATTACTGTACATGTCGAAGACCATGAGATTCCATCTCGTTGGCGGGAGGAATTTGTCTGAGGGGGATCCTCCAAGATAGGATGGTCTGGGTCCCATAAATTAGTTGCTGACTGTAGATAGGTACCTGTCGTGGGTCCAGAAACCGACCTCTACAACCCCCTGGGCTTAAAAAAAAAAAAAAAAAAAAGGAATTTGTAAACGTTGCCGAGTCTTGGTGCTGTGTGCTGATGTGCTGATGTGCTGACGTGTGGAATTTCATCCTACGGGCTAGCAAAAAAACAAGGATAAAAAAACGAAAAACAAAGATATGAGCAAACAAAACTTGGAAATCAGGTTCATCTTGCCAATTGGCTGGGGTCATGCAACCCTTCTTGATAAGTCCGCATGCTATTTGGGGAAAGGTTTGCCCCTGCGGTCTCCGAAAATCTTGTCTACAAGAGGACACATCTGTTCTCGTGAGCTGCGTGACGTTGGCTGATGAAACTGGGCTGTGGAGAATCCCCTGTAGCTCCCTTGATGACGCGTGTGAGATTCAAATGGGCACGGGAGGAAAGCGCTTCCGGCGAAAGTTCGTCGGCCGCGTTATCTCGTCGGACGGAGTGCAGTCATTACGGCTGTACTGTTGTTTCAAAAAAAAAAAAAAAAAAAAAAAAAAAAAGAATTGATGTACGGTCGGATGGAAGGAGTGAACTATGTTTCACTACGAAGGGTAAATGATCTGTTCGATTTGTCGGTTTCTGTCAGACGGGGCACTCGGCAACCGGCAGACGAGTGAGCTCTGAGTTGCTGGTGGTCGGGAGAAGCAAACAAAGACGTGAAGCACGAAAAAGGCACGAAGTGAGCGTACATGGAGGTGCTTGTCGTATGGGAGAGGTGCGTGTACCGGCTGACAATATGGCACGATTAAACGAGCAAGGGAAGCGAGCAGCTAGTCCGGAGTGAGCTCTGAGTTGGTGGTCGGGAGAAGCAAATGAAGACATGTGAAGCACAAAAAAGGCACGAAGTGAGGGTACATCGAGGTGATTGTCATATGGGAGGGGTGCACGTACCGGCTGACAATATGGCACGATTAAACGAGCAAGGGAAGCGAGCAGTTAGTCCCGCCACCAAGAAAGGGCGCACCAATTTGTTATGGGTGCGGGGTAACGGGGGAGGCCGGCGGAGTTCGGGGCTACCGGACGGAAACGCCTGGCGGCGTCAGCAAAAATGATGCCCATGCCGGTTCCTTTTTTTTTCGGCGCACAGGGAGATTTTAGGCTCGGCATCGATAGCCGAGAAAGGTACCGGTGGTTTAAGGATGATTTGATGATGGACAAAAAAAAGTGAACTAAAAAGACAAAAAAGAAAAAAAGAAAAAGGACGAACTGCGGGCAGTGCGGTGCAAGTATCAGGGGTTAGGAGTTTTGTCCAGTCCACAGAGAAACCGCGGCGAGACTGTCGTAACATGTCCACAGTTGTATGAGGATAGTGGGGGGATGGCAGAGGCTAGGGGATGGAGGGAGACTCCACCGGTGGCCCCCCCTCACTACCCGACCATGCAGCAGGATTAGGTACAGGGGAGGGGTACTGTTTTGTACACATGTAATCATGGGACGCTGGGCCCGGTTGCCAGCAGGTGAGGCTCCCCACACAATCCTCAGGAATTTTCAGTCCTCTTCAGTAATTCTCAAAAAAAAAAAAAAAAAAAACAACAACGTGTCCACAGTTGTACTGCAGTGGCAGGTATCCAGCCTCTGTCCCATTATTTCCGTTCATACAATCGTGCTTCCATTTCCGTTGCGACAATCGTACGGTCTTCCCCCCAACACAAAAAAAAAGCATCTGTTTGTGAGGAATGAAGAGTATGTCGTCCCACCGTCGCGGACGACGATGAGGAAGTGTTTTGGAATCTCTACCGCACATTGCACAACGACGATGTGAATCGGGATTTGAACCCTCAACCTCAAGGACTGGCCATGTTGGGTAAACTGGACTGTTAAGGGAAGTTGAGAAGTTGAGGTCAGGCCACCTATTTTATTCCTATAAGCACACGGGCCCTGTCCGTTTTCATCCCATTTCGTCCAACATTTAGCGAGCCCGCCCCACTCATCGAGTGCGTAGGAACCTGGCCCATGCGCTGAACTTGTCGCTTTCCACCTTTCTCAAGGACTGTCGTTCCACTTTGTCGGCCACGTCGTCAGTAATCACCAGGGCTGGCCATCGGCCGTGGGCGTTTCACGTTAACGCGGCGCGACCTGCGGGCTTCGGGGGGTACAGGACCACAATGGCTGGAAGCGCCAGCCAAAAGGAAAATGAAACGGCGCCCCGGCGGCTCGACAAAACTTGTCGCGCAGCGGGTATCCTGGCTCAGCATCGATAGCCGATAGCTGGGCCAAGTACTGGTGGTGGTTTGATCACCAGCACCTTCTTTTTCCAACTACCAAACGACATTATTCTCTCAATTCCACCTTTCACTACCTACCTACCTACCTACCACTACTCCTAAGCCTATACAGGGGACCCCTGCAAGCGTAGCTTTTAAAGTTTAAGCCCCTCACAATACATCTGACCCTTCTATTATCCGGCCTAGAAATGGGCCCTGTGTGCGGAAAACGCAGAGCGCCCGTGCGTCGTCTTTCTCATCTTGTGCCGCCGCCAGCCATTTAGCTCCGGTAGGCCGTGCCCTGAATGTCTCGGCGCGTTAACGGGCACTAGACTAAGTACCTTTGCCGCGTCAGAAATGAAGGAAAACGCCAGCTCCCGAAGACTTCCGAGGCCGGGCCTGACGACGGCTGCCATTGATAAAATTATTATTTAATTGGCCGCCATCGTTTCGTTTCGGCCTCCTGAACGGTTGGAGGCCCGCTATTTTCCAAACCGACAAAGGTACTACTAGTGGTTCGACACCCCTTCTAGGGAGACGAATGTCTGGGCAACTTACTGGCGGTTTAACCTAAAAAAAAACGAGAGAATCTGAAACGTAATTGCGGTCAGGTACATCCAGGCATGAACACAAAAGCGGTTGGATACATCCAGGAATCTCTCCTCATGTGGGCATCATCCGCTCAAAAGAAATTCAAATAACTGATCCGGATGAGAAAAAACTAAACAACTCGTACCATATGGCCAAAAAAAAAAAAAAAAAAAAAAAAAAGATAGAATGACATCCAAGTTGCTGAAGTCACTGTCAGCTGCTCAGAGTCAAAGCATCATGGTCCCTCTGCCCTGTCATGTCTAAAGAGCAGGAGCAACGAGGTCGAAGCAGCCGCTCATTAACCATGCACTCACACATGTACTTCATCAAATGGTCTCAGAAACATCCGGATCCAGCTACAATTGCGGTCAGGTACATCCAGGCCAGTCGCAGTGTGAGTCTGCTCTCCTAGTCACACACATGTACTTCATCAAACGGGTCTCCGGACGTAATTACAGTCAGATACATCCATCTCCACCTTCAATTGCAGTCAGATACATCCAGGACGGTCACAGCGTGAGTGTGCTCCCATAGTCTCACACATGATGGTCTCGGGGCATAACTACGGCCAGGTACATCCAGCTCCTGCGTCAATTGCAGCCAGATACATCCAGGTCAGTCACAGTGTGCGTCTGCTCCCATAGTCTCTCACACATGTTCTTCATCAGATGGTCTCTGGGCATCATTACAGTCAGGTACATCTACCTCCAGCTATAATTGCGGTCCGATACATCCAGCACAGTCCCAGTGTGAGTCTGCTCTCATACTCTGCTATCCAAAACGTTCCAAGCTTCCCATTTTTTTTTTTAATTTTTTTTTTTTTAAAGAAATACACCACTCCCTCCGCTAGGAGAGGAGATAAGACCCCCCCCCCCCCCCCCCCCCCCCCCCCCCCCCCCCCCCCCCCCCCCCCCCCCCCCCTCCTAGCTGACTGACAGGTTGCTCCAGTCTATTGGTGGGGACCACCATTGCTGGAAAAGGTGTCCCGCATTCCATTGCCCAAATGAGCATCTGAATACCCATCTTAACTTTTGAACGCTGCAGTACCTTTGCGCCTGAATGGATATTAAAGGTCGAAGTCAAAGTCAAACTCGAAGTCTAAGTCTAAGTCAAACTCAAAGTCAAAGACAAAGTCAAAGCCAAAGCCGAAGTCAAAGTCAAAGCCACATAAGAGTCAGAATCGAAGTCGAAGTTGAAGTCGACGTTCAGTACCTTTGCTCTTGAATGGATATTAAGGGCCTCCTTGCACTACTCGCCATCCGCCAACATTTTGATTGCATGTGGACATCTTTTTTGTCCAGATGCATTCGAAATCTTGGCGGATGGCGAGTAGTGCAACTAAGGCCTAAAGGTCAAAGTCAAACTCAAACTCGAAGTCTAAGTCTAAGTCTAAGTCTAAGTCAAAGCCAAAGTCAAAGCTAAAGCCAAAGTCAAAGTCAAATAAGAGTCGGAGTCGAAGTCGAAGTTGAAGTCGACGAACAGTACCTTTGTGCTTGAATGGATATTAAAAGTCGAAGTCGAAGCCAAAGTTAAAGTCAAAGTCAAAGTCAAAGTCAAAGTCAAAGTCGAAGTCGAAGTCGAATTCAAAGTCAGAGTCAGCGTCGAAGTCGAAGTCGAAGTTGAAAACCACTCTGCAGAAGCTTAGCTATAGCATGTGAAGGAGGACAGCGACAGGGACAAAGCAATTTGACATTTGAGTCGTAATTATAATTTTAAAGAAGCCTTAATTTTTTTAATTTAAGACCATGACTATCTTTCAGGCTGGGGGGCTAGGTCGTGAATATAGCCTATAAACCACATATTGTTCGGAGGCCGTCGGAGGCTGGGTGGGCACTACCAGACCACAAAGCCTGGCGACGCCACACAAAAGGAAATGGAAAAAAAACGCTGCACTGGCGCTTTGGCAAAAAGCTTGGGACGCAGTTCGACGCCGCCTTGGCGAGAAGACGTTCGGAGGTAGTGGTGGTTTAAAAAAAAAAAAAAAAAAAAAAAGAAGGCTTCGTCCTGACATCTGAAGGAGAACAGAAATTGGACAATTGTTAACTCTCCTGAAAACGGCACAGAATCACGCAGAAAGGCGTGCGTATCGATTGAGATTATAAAGTTTTTTTTTAACGGCAATTCGCTACTTTAGAGCGTGGACAATCCTGAACCAGGTCCCCAATTATGACCAGGTTCAATCCTGAACCAGGTCCACAATTATGACCAGGTTCATATTCCTGGACCAGGTTCCCAATTATGACCACGTTCATAATCCTGAACCAGGTTCCCAATTATGACCAGGTTCATATTCCACGTACCAGCCCAGCAACGCTTCGGAGAGCACGACCCATCCACTTCCCTGTGAAACAAACCCAAAGCTGACTTCCCACTGAGACTCCTTCACACAGCTCCTCGCCGTAATACAAAACCAAAACCCACCCAGACGTAATAATACCTCCCCCCCCCCCCCC